CTCTCTCTCTCTCTCACACACTCTCTCTCTCACTCTCTCTCTCTCTCTCACACACATCTTGTGCCTCTCGCCATATCCCACTTTCGTGTCCTCATGAGTGTTGGCTCGATGCGGCCGCCTTTTTGCCCGTTGCCCTCCCAAGCTCGATGATCGGCAAAGATCCTTTCCTGAACATGACACTCCCGACACCTGGGCCCTGTGCCTCATATCCCTGCGCCCGCGCGTCAGGACATCTTCACCAAGGACAGGGCATTTATTTCCAGCAGCATCAGGGCGACCAGCTGGCCTGAGAGTCCAGAGACATGGAGGAAGGCGCCGGATCGGAAGAGGGGTCCTCCTTGAGGATGGCGGCCTCCTTGTCGGCATTTGCATCCTTGCCTACGGCCTCCGTCGACTCGAGACGCAGCCAGGCGAAGGGGAGCTGACCAAGGCGATGCAACCGCACCAAAGCCACCACCAGCAGGGGCAGAACCACACCAATGCAAACAATCAGCAGCGCCAGGCCAAGCCAGCCGATCCACGAGGTCAAAGCCAGAGGAGACGGCCCGGGGAAGTCCCAGGACATTGCCGCCAGGAGGCCAAAGTGCGAAGAAGGGTAGATGTGCTGGGACCCGGTGCCTTGACGGTTGTCCCGAATGAGGGACGCCTCGCTGACCGCCAAGCCAGCTGTGGCCAGCGGAGACCCATGGAGAAAGAGGAAGTCCGGCCGCTCGGTGGCCACCCCGGTGAAGTCGTGATACGTATCACCGGCATGCTGGTTGCCCGGAAGAAGGCGGAAGCTGTCCATGAAGCCGCTGGCCCGCAGGAGATGCACATGGAAGTCGTCTTCCGACTGGGCAGCCATGTCACCGGTGGCCACCACCGGGATGCCGTGGGGATTGTAGTTGGAGATGCTCAAAACCTGTGTTTGTGTGTGTGTGTGCGCGCGCGCGCGTGCGTGCGTGAGTGTATGCGGAGGTGCATTCGCATGGTTAGTTTGGACTTTGCATGTGCGAGCCGGAAGGGGGGCACACGTGTAGCGAAGCCACAGGGCGCGGGCACAATCGAAAGGGCGGACAAGAAAAAAGACGCACCATTTGCAACGTGCTTTCGGTCAAAGCCGCCGGGGCATTGGGATCCAGCCGGGTGTTGAAGTGGTAGAAGGAGCGCCGGGAGGACTTGTCATGGAGAAGGACCCAGGAGACGGATCGCGGCGCGGTGTTGCCGAATGACATGCACCCCGGGAGGGAGGGCGTCTTACACAGGGAAAAGGTGCCAGATTGCAGGGGGAGGAAGCGTGTCCGGCGGAAGAGGATCGGATTGTGCAGGGCGATGCCCAGGCGCAGGTCGGCCACCGTCTGCGGGGCCAGGGCATACTGCTCGCCGAGGGCCGAAAGGAGCAGATCCAGGTGCTCGGTGGCCAGATCTTGCAGAGCCACCACATCCGGATTCCGGGAAGTGATGGCACTGACAAGGATGGGCATGCGCTCCGTCCAAGGGGGCCCGCGGGTGGATGCGCTGTCCACATTGAAGGAGAGGGTCCGCAGGAACAGGCGAGTAGACGAGCGCCCGGCCGACGGGTGTTGCTGATGGGGGGGCGTCGGGTCCGTGCCCTCTTCCGGGCCTTCCACTTCCTCATCGAGGGGTGGCGAGGGAGTCGGGCCGGAGTCCGGCACGTTGGGAGTAGTTAGCACTCGAAGGACCTCGGCTGCGGTCGAATCCGAGTCGATGGCCACCCCGAAGGTGGCAGGGAGACCTGACTGGTCGGAGTCGGCGGGAGCCACTTCAACTTGGCCGAGCCCCGGGAGACGCCGAGACCGGGCCCGCCGCCCAGGCGGGGGAAGGGCGGCTCGCTCGACCGCCCGTCCGACCATCGATCGAAGGGTAGCGCAAGCCTGATCGTGGGTCCTCATGATGCCGGGCCAGCTGGCAGCCGAGGGGGCATGCCCACGCGCCGGGACCACACGGCAGGCGGCAGGCTCGGCCATCGGTGTCAGGAGCACCTCAACGCAGGCACCACTCGGATCATCTCCAGGACAAACCACAGCCCGAGAGTGCACACCAGCAGGAGGGGCCTCGGCCAGCCCGGCAGCCAGCAGGCCCGCCAGGACCAGGAGCAAGGCAGCCCAGGTGCGTGGGCCGACCGGACAGGGGGGCATACGTCGGTAGATGTGCCAAGTCCAGAGACAGGGCTCGAGAGCGAAGAGTCAACGCGCGTGCTGGTGATCGATGGGCCAAGGAGCGGGGATGTGAGGGAGTGGGGCCCGGGGCGGCAAAGGTGCTTCGGGGAGGGACGGGAAGGGAGGGGGGGGGGAGGAGAGTAGCCATGTGCCAGGGTGGAGAGGAGGAGGCACTCCCCTGGTTGTGAGTTGCCGAGAGGGCGGAAGCTTTTGTGTCTGGCCCACAGTCGGTGACTGGCGCCGGGATCTCGGCCCACGCCCCCGGGGGATATCCCTCTCCGGGGGTTCTGAAACAACGAAGTCCGCGACGTTCCCAAAGGGGCGAGTCGGGCGCGGGGGGGGGGGGGGGGGGGGGGCCAAAATGAAGGCACCGCTCGATCAACCGCCGGGCGCCGCGCCGACGGTTCGGCAGGAGGACAAAAACAGCAAGCATCTGTTGGTCTACATTCAGCAAGCCTTGAGGCCGGTTGCTTTGTTCCGCAGTGCCGGCCATTCGCTCGCAAGTCCAAGATCCAAGAAGCAGCCCCGCCTCCCCCCAGAGCGCGTGTAATTTCCGAAGGGGCAGTCACCGGGCGGCCCGGGCGCCTGCCAACGGAGTGCTCTTGTTTACAATCGACTTTTGGTTGAACGGCCTGGGGGCGGAAGGACAAACCCCAAGCGCCGGCCGGTCTTGGCCCGAGAGACGCGCCCGCTTGCGCCGGGTCTTGGGCCTTCAGGTCCCGACCGAGCCCAGATCACTCGGGCCTGCGCCGCAGGTCTCCCACAAGGGCCAGTTAGCAATGGAAGCAGGGTGTCCGGGGCGTGCAACATACAAAATACTAACGCCTCAGTGAGTCTAGCCCCTGGTGTTGGGGTCCCTAGGTCGATTTGTCCTGTCCAAACACATCTCGAGTCAGGCGCAGGGGACCAGGCAGATAGCAGACGCCCCCCGCCCCCTTCTCCCTCTCTCTCCCTCTCTCTCCCTCTCTCTCTGTCTCTCTCTCCTCCACCACAAGGGGGTTTCGCACGTCTCTTTGAAAGGACACAATCTATTTCGGACAGCAGGCAGGCGAGCAGACATTTCCAACAGGGAAGAGAGAGAGAGAGGGAGATGGCGCTCACTCGGATTCCGGATAATCAAAAGCCACTTGGGCCCAGATCGGAAAGTGGTCACTGGGGAAAATGGCACCAAGGGTCGGGTCGGGACGATACTCGCGATTGATGTTGGCATCCTTGACGGTGACCTGCCAGGCGGCTTCCGGCGAGTCGGCCTGCACAAAGACATAGTCGAACTTGCGCATGGCCATGCCGGAGAAGGCGTGGAAGGTTTCCCCCGGCGAGGGGAGCGGATTCACCACGCGGAAGGTATCGATGAAGTTCTCACGCTGCAGGGCAAGCACCTCGGGCGAAGATTCCGATTGGTTGTTGAAATCCCCAAGCAGAATGACCGGCAGGCGTTCGCCATTCATGAGGGAAACCGTGCGAGCCAGTTGCTGGGAGCTGGACAGCCGCGATGTCGAAGAAACATGATCCATGTGCAGGCTATACACGAGGAAGGGCTTCTGCGAGGCCAAATCAAGGAGACGTGCCCAGGTACTGATGCGGGGGATGCTGTTGCCGTACGACTTGCAGGCCGGGAGGGAAGGCTCGTCACAGAACCAAAAGGTGCCGGATTCCAGAAGGGCGAAGCGGTCTTTGCGGAAGAAGATGGGCGAGTACTCGCCGGCTTGGTGGCCATCGTCCCGACCGACGCCCACATGCGCATACTCGTCCAGTCGCTCGATGATGAAATCCAGCTGCGAGCTGAGGACCTCCTGCAGGCCCACCACGTCGTACCCCCGCTGGCCCATGATCTCGACGGCGTGCTCCCGGCGGTTTTCCCAGATGTGCTCGGCATCGCCGGGGTTGGCATACCGGATGTTGAAGGAAAGGAGATTCAGCTCAAGCGAAGCGCTCGGCAAGGAGGGGCGGCCACCTTGGTCTGGGGGGGCGGCGGCGTCGGCCGCGCGCGTCACCGCCAGAAGGCACACGAGCAGGAGGCCGATCAGCAGGCGGGAAGTCAAGCGCATGCCGATGACGGGGAGGGAGGGGGAAGAGGAGGAGGGGGAGGAGGAGGAGGAGGAGGAGGAGGAGAGGGAGGCAATCCGCAGGGCAGACCAGGGGGATGGATAGGGGAGGCCGCGAAAAGGGGCGGGCGAGTGTGTGTGTGTGGGGGGGGGGGTGTGGAGGAGATCCGAGAAACGAACAGACCCCGGGACCTGGTCGCCCCCGTCACACACAAGTCCCCTCTAAAGGGATCTCGAGTGTGTGGCGGCAAGCCGACTGATCGACCCCTCCCATGGCGCCAATCCCCTTGCCTCGCGCACATGGAGAGCCATCTTCTCTCAAGCCGCAGGGCCCCCTCCTGCGGTCTGAGGCCGATCTTCCCGATTGGCCACCCCGCCGAAGTCCCCGGCGATCGGGGGGGGGGGGGGGGCGGAGCGAGAGCCGGGGGCCCCGGGGTGGAGGGGCTCCGGGCAGAGGTCCAACGCCGTCCCTCCGGCCCCGGGCCATTCTTGTCGTCCAGATCGAGGTCACTGATGCGTCGGCATCTGGACATGGGTCGTGCCTCCATCGGCAGTACCCGTCCCTGGCTGTGTCATCCTCCCACACTATTCGGCGGCCATGGTGCCGCAGGCACACGCGCAGCCCCCCCCGGTAAGCCAAGGGAAAGCAATTCCGCTGAGCCCGCCCCTCCCCCTCCTTCCTTTCCCTCCCCCCCCCCGTCCCTCCCCGCTTGCTCCTATTTGTTCCTTTCTTTGTGATCCTCTGCCCCCCCTATCGCCCCCCCCCCCTGCCCCGAGCTCCCCCCACGCCACCTCATCGACAGCCCTCCACATACCATGGCCAGCTCCGCCCCTGCCAAGGCGTCTGCCTCTGCTGTAATGTCGCACTTCCGCTTTGCCCTTGGCCAGCGTGCGGCCGCGGCGTCGGCCAGCGCCCCAACCCCAGCCTTGGCCGGCTTCGGTGGAAATGCCGCGCGCACCGGTGTCCTCCATTTCGGCCAGCGGTCCTTTCCCACGCCGCTGGCTTTCCTGTCGGCTCCGCGCGGTCATCCGACGCACCTGACCCCAGACCATGCCGCCACCCTCTTCGACCAGGCCGATGGTCATGGTCTCGGTGCGTGCCGGGACCAACCCACGCCCCTCCCTCTTGCGCGGGCGATTGGCGGAAAGAAAGAGAAGAGAAGCAAACCAACCCCTTTCTTCATTTCCCCTGCTCTGCCCATGCTCCTGACATGTCCCTGGCCGAACTCCCTCTCCCTCCCTTCCTTTCCCCGCCCGAATCCCAGCCTTCAACCTTGAAACCGACTATCTGATGGGGTCTCTGATCCCTCTGCTCCGGCACAGCAGCACCGGCAAGGTCAAGCGCTCGGACACCTCGGCCGCCGTGACCACTTCCCTCCCGAGCGATGGTGATGTGGCGCTGCTGCCGAATCTGCGATCTTTCCTCGGCTTGTCGCCCGACACCTTGGTGTTCTCCTCGCCGCGCATGGTCTTCCCCGGGGCCCCAGGCGTTGGCCAGAAGACTGCCGGCAACACCGATGACACCATCCTCTTTGAGAGCCGATACGGCCGCCGGGGGGCCAACCTCCAGCAGTTCATCCAGATGGTGGATCTCATGTACTCGGACCGGACCCCCCCCGCCGGCCCGGAAGCCGGGCGTCTCCTGCCGGTGGAGTTGCCGCAGGCCGGCTCGCCCACCCTGCTGATGGCCTTGGCCGACCTGCCGCCGGCGCTGGCCGGCGCGCGCCGGTCCCTCCGTGCGGCCGAGCGCAATGTGGCCTTCATGGATGGGCTGTTGAGCCATTATCAGAAGACCGGCGGGGTGCAGCCGGTGCGCGGGGCCTCCGACTCGCCGGACCCCAGTCCGGCGGTCCTGCCGGCTCTCTTCGCCCCGATCATCGGCCCACACCCGGCGGCCGCGCGGCACGGCGCCAACTATGTGGCATCCGTTGTGGCTCGCCAGGGCATCGCCAATGGCGAGGGAGATGTCGCGGTCGGGGCGCCGGAGTCTTCCGGCTTCAGCCCCTCCTCCGTGCTCGGGGGCGTGGTGTTGGTGGGCTTCGACTTGACGAAGCCCCAGCAGCGACGCCTGGTGCGTGAGGTGCTGCGCACGGTCCCCGGGCACTTGCCGCGTGCGATTCTGGTTGGCTCGTCCGCCGGGGCCGGCACCCCGGAGGAGGCCCTGGCCGCGGTGCGCCTCGGTGCCGATCTGGTCCTCGATGCCGGGGCGGCGGCCGTGCGCGATGCCTCCGACGGCCGGGCTTGGTCGCTGTCTCACGGGGCCCTGGCGGAGGCCTTCCTCGGCGCCGAGGAGATCGACGAGTCCGAGCTCGACCACCTGCGCCAGGAGCGCCAGCTGTTCACCGACAATGAGGCGGCCATTCGTCGGGCGGCCGAGGAGGCCGATCGCGAGCGGGCCGAGGCAACTGCCCTGGCCGAGGCCGAGGGGCGCGCGACCCCCGGGCCGGCTGGCCCGCCGCGTGCTCGTCATGATGCTCCGCCCACGCAGCCCGACGACCTGGACCGACGCCTGGCCCGGGTGGCTGACATGCTGGCGGGCAGCCAGCGCCAGGTGAACCTCTGGGATCGCGAGCACGCCATGGCCAAGGGCCCCTTCGTGAAAGGGTGCCCGTGCTTCGCCTGTGCGCGCCACACCCGCTCATACACGCACCATCTGCTCAACACTCAGGAGCTGTTGGGGCCGTTGCTGCTCAGCATGTGCGTCCTTTGGCTGGTCTTTCTCGCCCCCCTCCCCCCCCCCCACCGCCCGGCTCCTTCCTCCTGCTATGCGCCCTCTGCCCTGCCCCACCTTCATCCCCACTGCTATCCAGGCTTTCGCATGATGTCCATACTAAGCACGACATCTTCCCCGCCCCCCTCCCGGTTGGTGCCACCCATTTGTCCCATCCACCCGAAGTCACAATTCCCACCAGGCGCTTGGGCTTTTCCGTGAAGTGCGCCAGGTACTGGCTCGGCTGGCTGGCCCGAGCAGCAAGCGCCTGCGCACCGGCACCGATGCCGATGACGCCTCGCCCAAGCGCCCGCGCGTGGAGTAAGTACGCGCCCCGGCCCCGCTTCCATTTCGACCCTCTCCTCGCCCCGACTGCGCGCCCGGCGCCATTGGGGCACCCCTTGCTTTGTTTTTTTTTTTTTCCCCCAGCCTCTTGGAAATCCCTCCTGTTGCCCTTCCCCCCTCAGCACATAATAGACCTTCTTGCATTGGAACAAGGAAACGAAAGCGACACCAGTCTCACAGAGGGAAGGGGCGGGCGGGCGGGCGGGCGACGGCACAACTCATCGCTCTAGCCAAAGTGCCATGCGACATCGGCCAAAATCGGGTAGTGGTCGCTGGGATAAATGGTCCCCAGGCCGGAGGGCAGAGACACATGCTGGGTGAGCATGTCGACCGCGGTGACATTGTACCCGGCCAGGTTGGCGCCGGTCCAGAGCCACACGTAGTCGATCTTGCGGATGCCCTTGCCGGTGAACTCGTGGTAGGTGAGCCCACGACGGGGGTCATGATCGAGCTGACGGAAGGTGTCCATGTAGCCGGCATCCTGGAGAACCCGGACTTCGGTGGCATTTTCGCTGTGGTTGTTGAAGTCCCCGGTGATCAGGGTCGGCAGCCGGGCCAGGTTGTACCGGTCGATGGTGTCAACCAGCTGCTGGGCGCTCTGGATGCGGGAGTTGCTGGACATGTGGTCCAGGTGCACATTGAAGTGGTAGAATGCGCGGCCGGTGGGGACGTCGAAAAACTTGGCCCAGGTGCAGATCCGGGGCAGGTTGTTGCCGTACGTCCGGCAGCCGGGAATGTGTGGCTGGTCGCAGAACCAGAAGGTCCCGGATTCGAGAACCTGCAGACGATCGGCCCGATAGAAGATGGGCGCATACTCGCCGGCGGTGAGGCCATCATCGCGGCCCACGCCGACATGCCGGTACTCCGGCAGCTCGGCCAGGAGCTCTTGCAGCTGGAAGTGCAGGACCTCCTGCAGCCCCGCCACCAGGGGAGCCTGCTTACGCAGGATGTCAAACACCTGGGGCCGGCGCTGTGGCCAGCCATTCAGCCCATCGCTGGCCGAGCCGTAGCGAATGTTGAAGGACAGCGCGCGGAAGGCCATTTCGGTGGCCGCCACCGCCGGGCGCCAGGGCGTGCGCGGAGCCACGCCGGCCGTCGAAAGCTGGTGACTCTCGGCGGCGACCTCGGCAATGGCCCCGGCGGCCTCGGCGGCCGGGGCTGTGATGTTCAGCTCCAGCAGCTCGTAGCCCGCGGCCCCGTCCAGGCGCTGGCGGTAAAGCCCACGCGAGGTGAAAGCCCCCCCGGGCAGGGACTGGGAAAAGTAGCCGAAGGTGTCGTCACCGTTCACCTGCCCGGCAAGCGGGCCCTCGGAGGAGACACGCGTGAGCAGGGGGGCCAAATTATCGGGCCAGGTGTCGGCGTTGGCATCGGCGGTGCCGGCGGGCCAGAGCAAGGTCTGGGGCAGGCCCGGGCCGGCGGCCAGGCGAACCGCGGCACCCTCGGCCAAGGTCAGCTGCGGTCCGGCGGCCAGGAGGCCCTGGCTGAAGAGAGCGCGTAGCCGGCGCATCGGCGCGGTGTCTTGCTGATGCGGCGAGGTGGGCAGGGCGGTGGCCGTGATGGCCGCCGCCGCCAGCAGGGCCAGCAGGGCCAGCAGGAGGTGCTGGAGAGCACGCATTCTCGCCCTCGAACGGTGCAGAGGATGTGTGGTTATGTGCGTGTGTGTGTGTGTGCGCGCGTGAAAAGAGACGGCCGCGAGAGCAACGGAGATGGATGGTGGTGGGGAGGCAGGATGGTGGGGGGGAGGGGGGGGGGGAGATGAAGGGGCAGCGAGGCCTGTGTCAAGAGGGCTCTGAAGCCAGCATGCAGCAAGCATAGCCTTTTTATTCGGGCACCGGTTCCGGCATCGGTGCACACGGTTGGGGGCACGGGGACCACACCCAGGGCCGGGCATCTGACGACAGATGCACACCCAGGGCAAGGGACAGATCTCCCAATGGCTGAGGTCACCCGGGCCGCGAACAGCATGTTGTGGCGGTCCCTGGGGGACATTCGGAGCCTCGGCAGTTCAGCCGAAGGGGCCGGGTCGGACACGGGGACCGGGGTTCCGGGCCAAGGGTCGGGGGTGGCTCGGGTCACTCCGGGGGGGGGGGGGGGCATCACGCACAATCCTCCTGCCAGGCCGGTGTCTCCTCCCGACAATATGTCCCCTGCCAGCTGTGCTTCCGCCGGTGGGGGCCGGTGTGAAGGCAGTGTCGGGCGACAAAAGGGAACACAGGCACACGCGGGGGGCAGGCATTTTATTGTGTGCCTGCCCCCCTCGGTGCGAGCGAACGGGCGCCGGCGGAGACGCGCGCGCACCCTGCGGGCCGGTTGTTTTGATATGTGCTTTTATCAGGGGGGCGAGGCCGCCCGTGACAGCCACGTGACGAACTCGTTGACCAGCCCTGCATTCACCCACACCTCGCCCGGGTCCGGGGCCGAGGCCGAGGCCGAGGCCGAGGCCGAGGCGGGCATGCTGGTGGCGGCGGCCTGCCACCGGCGGACAGCCTCCTCGAGGTCGACGCTGTAGGCGCCCTTGCGGGCGATGTCCAGCCCGCCGGCCAGCATTGCCCCAATGGCCCCTTCAGATCGGAGCTCCGTCTGGGCCAGAGACTGATCGAGACGCCGGCCGGCGGTCGAGTAGCTGCCCCAGCCCGCGGGTGCGTGTTAGAATGGCGCCGGCGGGAGGAGCTGCGCGTCTTCTCGGGAGCCCGCGCTGGCAGGGGGAGGGACGCGGGCAGGGTGCGTACCTGACACGAAGGACTGCCCGCCGGGAAAGGTCTGGCTCCCCCGGGCCCGGGGCTTCCAGGTCGTCGCCGAAGATCACCGGCACGCAGCCCAGCATCATGGCCTGGTCCGTCCGAGCAGAAAGACATACACACACACACACACACAGACGCCCCCACCGGCCCGGCAAAGGCCCAGTCCGGGTGTATTTTCCCGGTGCCGAGAGTTAGCATGGCCCCCCTGGCCGGCCGGGTGGCCGAGACGCGACCGAGGATCCGACGGCGCACCTCCAGTGGCCGGGGCGACCACTCATAGAAGCCCGGCGGACAGAGGCAAAAGCGGGACTCCTCGCCGGGCCGATTGCGTGGGTCCTTGCCCAGGGCCAGGCGTGCCACGGCGGGCCCGGCTCCCACGGCCCGGCGCGCATCCTCCCACAATGCATGCCCCTCGGACAGAGCCTGCAAGAGCTGGCGCACCCCGCGCGAGTGGGGGAAGTCCCGCTGGATGGTCCCGTGGAAGCTGGACCGGATTGCCTTCTGGCGCCACTCGGCCAGAAGCAGCTCGGTCGAAGGTGCCTGGCCGATGGGCCGGCATGCTCGGTCGGTGGCGTCACGCTCATGCCCCGGGGGACAGCCCCGGCCCGCCGCCGAGCGGGCGTGCTGCCCCAGCAGGCGATCCATTCGGGCCACCAGAACATCCAACGTCGCATCGGTCACGCGTGCCGGGGCCACATAGTGCTCCTCGGGCTGGCAGGTGGCCGAGGGCAAATCCGCAAGCCAGGGCGCCGGGCATCGCGCCAGGGGCGGGCACGAGCATGTGAGTGTCGACATGGGTGGAGGCCGCACGGCCGGGCCTTGCGCAGCGCCTAAAAGACGCGAGGCGTGCCTTCCCTCCCCCCCCATCTCCGGTTTGAGAAGGAACTCACCGTATAGCCCGATCGCCGGCTGCCGTTCGTGGTGATAACCAGCGGACCCGGCTGCGCGCGTCCGGCCGCCAGCGGGCGCTCTCCGGCCAGGCGGGCCAAAGCCCGCTGGATGAAGGCCAGGCCCTCGCCATGCCCCGAGAAGAGGACCATGCGGCCGAGGGGGACACGTGTGTCTCGGAGCATCTCGTCAAGGGCTTTTGCATGTTTCCGTGCCCATCGGCCGGTGGCATGTGAGTTCGCCAGCCCGTGAAGCTACATGCCCCCACGATGGCAGGGGGCCCCGGAGGCTCACAAGCGCACCCTGATAGAAGGCGGCCTCGACCCAGTGGTCGGAAAACCGGCGCAGGGCCTTCCCCTGGCGCATTTCGGCCACGGTTTCCCGGCAGCCATAGCGCATGGCATACACCGGCACGAAGACCCAGTCCGCCTCGTCGGGCGTGGCCACAAAGGGGCAGAGCAGTTCCTCCCCCGAGAGGATCGGCACCACCGGCGACCGGGCCCCGTGGATGCACCGGTGCGCGGCTCGGAGGAGCTCCACATGCAGGAGCACCTCACTGTCAAAGAGCCGGCCTGTCGGGCCGAGCATGCATGCGCGGCGGGCCTCGGTGGCCGAGCTCTCGGCGATGGGGCCCACCTCGGGCCAGCGCCCGAGCGCCACGGCGCCCATGTCGCCGGCCGGCGCCTCGGTGGAGAACAACAGATCGCGAGTGAGCCCCGCGGACCCGGGGTGGATGAAGCTGGGGATGTGAGGGAGGGTTGTCATTGGCCCCGGTTTCGGTTAGCCATCCCCACAATGCAGAGGGTTCCAGCGGGCAAGCGAAGAGGTCGGCGAGGGGTACAAGTACATCTTGGTGCCGGCCACCGGCACACAGCAGGCCGAGTTGACCGTCAGGCTGAGGAGGAGCAGGCAAAGCAGGGCCAAAGGCACGGATCTTGATCCGGCGAGCCCATGACCGGGATTGCCGGGTGAGGTGGGCATATCGGCAAGCGAGGGGGGCGGAGGTCAGGGAGTGGCTCCAGACAGGAGCACAAGCGAAGATCAGGGGTGGTTGGCAAGGTCGAGCGGCAGGGGAGGGGGGGGGGGGAGGAGGGGCGGGGGGGACAGAGCAAAAGTGTGCTCCTCCGCCTTCTTCACAGGCCGGGGCGACGGCACTTGTATTAATTAAACCCCACAATCCTCTGCGAATGCAGGTGACGAGCCAGCCCATCCGCGTGACCAGCCCTCCCGGGTGCCGACGACTTTCCCTTTAAATGCCGGTGTTCCGTGTTTTCCGCAGACCCTTGGGGTGGGGGTGCCAGAAGAAGTGCCCTCCCCCGCCCCCGCCCCCGCCCCCGCCCCCCCCCCCCTCCCTCCTCTGCCGCTTGTCCGCTGTCGCTGCCATCGCCTCCATGTCTTCTGCCGAGAGTCCCCCCGGCACGCCGTCTGCCATTCCGGCCAGCGCCCCGGCCCTTACCACGGATGCCCTGTCTGCCACCCTTGGCCCGGCGCCGATTGTGGCCAGCTCGCAAACCACGGCCGAGCCCGTGTTCGCCGATGCCAGCCTGGTCTCGGATGCCGGTGCGTCTCCCCTCCTCCTGGGCTGCTCCTGCGTCACTTCCTCTGCTCCCCCCTCCCCCTCCCTCTCTCCGCCTAGGAGCCCGCTGAGAAGGGCCCGCCCCCCCCCCACTTTCTAACCCTCCCCTCCATTCCCAGATCGCTTTGAGTCGGAGCAGGCCCGCCTGATCGAGCGTGCGGACGACATGTTCCGCAAGATCTCCCAGTACATCAATGCCGAGATGTCCAGTGCGTGTGCCATCCAGCAATTGCCTTCCCCTTATGTGCCTTTGCTCACCTGCCCCCCATGCCCTCGGCCTGGCGCTGCAGCTCTTGAGGGGGACTACTCCAACCTGGGGAGGATGAACCTGACTGCGGCACATGCGTACGCCGAAATCGAGCGCATGGTCCTCGGTCTGAACTCCATGATGTCCGAGCTCCAGAACAAGTGTACGTCCCCTCCCACTTCATCCTCACTCTCTCTTCCTCCCGCTCTCTGGCGCGTGTCCGTGCGCGCCCTTGTTCGCGCAGCCCGCACTGCACCAAGGCCCCAGTCTGTTTGGCCCCCTCAGCTGACCCATTCCCCGCCCCCCCCCCCCCCCCCCCGTGCAGACGAGCATAATAAGGTGTACTTCGCACAGATCGATGCCCTGGAAAAGAGTGTCGAGCGCCTGGAGACCGCCGCCCGCGAGCTGGACGCGTATGCCCGCCGTCTTGGTGCGTCCTCCCGTCTTTTGATCCTGCCAGTGCTGGCTTGCAGTTGCGCCTATCATGGCCGGCCGTTGCACTTGCGCCAAGACCTGCGCGTCCCACCTTCCCTCCCTCTAACACACACACACACACATACACACACACGCAAATATCCACAGATCAAGCCTTCCGCGCCTTCGGCCGCGGCTGAGCAACTTCCGCTTGTTTTCTCTTTTTTGCGCGTCTGCCGAAAGCGACCAAGACAATGGGGGGTAGCCCCCCCCCCCCGTTCCACTGCCCTCCTCCGCGGCCCCCCGCCATCCTGGGCCCCGGTGGGAAAATACACACATCTTGCGTACTCCCGTCGCAACGCCGGCCGTTGGCACATGGCTCCATTGGCAGTCCCCCGATCTTGGCCCGAGGTCCTGGGACACCGCGCGATCTCGCCCCTCGGCCGTTCTGTCGGTGCATCTGCCGATCGCTCTACGTTGGCGGTGGCGGTTTCCGGCCATCCTGACTGGCAGGACCCACCGGGGCCGGAGCGCGGGTGCGTATGCGCGCGTGTGTGTGTGTGTGTGTGTGCGCGCGCGGCACCGCCACGCTCCCGAAGGGCGGCCGTCAGGCGGCGTTCCAGGGACGGCGTGAGGCTGGAGGAACCGGTGGGAGTCGGCTTTTCAAAGGCGCGCCGGCAACGCGGCTGGGGAAGGGGGCCTGGGGGCCGGCCCGCGAGCACGCATGCTAGGGGCGGGGGGGGGGGGGGGGGGGGGGGGGGGTCGGCCGCATGTCTTGTCTGTCTCTGACGGTTTTCCCCGGACACAAGCCCCCCTCGCCGCCCCGGCCGAGAAGGGGAGAGGAGGCTTTGTGCACGCGCGGCCCCCGGCCAACGAGGGAGATCGGCCGCGTCTCGTTTCTGCTCCCGTCACCAGGGACGCACAAGACTGGACATGGACCTGGCATGGGTCTGCGCACATGCGTGCGTGTGTGTGTGTGTGTGTGTGTGTGTGTGTGTGTGTGTGTGTGTGTGTGTGTGTGTGTGTGTGTGTGTGTGT